TAGTATAGCCTTTGGGCCCAAATTCCTTCAAACATGAATCCTTGGATGCTTAGGGGTAGGGTTATTCCCTAAACCCTAATTAATCGTTATCCATTTTCTGTTTGTATCCCAATACACCCTTAAAGCCTGAACCCTAAATAACCCGTTATAGTACTTTCCATTTCCTTTTCCATTACCCCAGTAGTAGGGTTCAGGGCCTGAGGCTGGAGCAGGGATCTCCCTGTGAACTAGCACGAGCAGAGCGTCGAAAACGTTCATGAACCTGGACTTCAGAGACACTCCGAAGGTCCGGAGATAGTGCTATCCTATCTAGAAGCATGGCCCCGTATTCCACTGTTCTGGAAGAATGGCCCGCAGACTGCGTACGATTTGCGGCCTGTCACAATTACTACCATCCCTTGGGCCTCTGGTTCAGGGTAAGGTTTAGGGTTCAGGTTGCAGCATAGCCGCGGTTTGCATTTAATGTGTCAGGACTTTCCTAGTAAGTACCCTTGGTCGGGCTTCTATAGCCACTAATAGTGGTACTTTCGCTTAAGTACAGGGTAGTTGGAATTCCTACATTGGTGGATGGTTAGAAGGACAGCCACACTGGCAAGGTGCCATTTAGGCCTCTGTCTCCCTCTCTCTTTCCATGTGTGTTACTACGACTTTGTGATGACTTCTCTGCCCTTAATGCCGAAAGCAACCAATTAGTCCCTAGCCCTTACTAGCCAAATGGCCTTAGGGCATAGAGTTTAGGAGTTTTCTATGTGATACATCTGTAACGAAGTCCAACCAAAATTCATCAGAGAACGATAAATTAATCCCTTGGTTCCAGGATGCTTACATGGTGTTTTCCCAAAATAGGGGGAGCCCAATATAGATCCCATAATACTCTAGTCCTTATTATAGGGATCCCCAAAAAAGGTACCCCTAATTTTGGGAAATCCCTACATGGACAGCTGTATTCTTGCCAACGGCTCCTTTCAAGTCCTAACAAGACTGGTCTTCATATGGAAGGCTGTCAAAATTATGGTCCCTTTTTGGGTACCCTAAATATTAGGTGCCGTATTATAATCGGGATCCAAAAAGGGACCATAATTTTGACAACCTAATATGACCCCCAGATGTTCCCTCTGCCCTATGCAGTGTGGTTACCCCCAATATCTTTAAACGGTAGATTGTGAAAGTGGATTACATACTGCAGTATGGTAGAATAGAAAACTAGAATGACATGGAATAGAGGAGTATAGAAGCAGCTGGGCAGGCGAATGTCTCACGGAACTCCAGCGGGACAACGATATTTCCTCCATGAAAGGTCCTATGGCTTCTGCTGGATTGTATTGGTATCTTAAAGGGTAGTTGGGGACTGCTGGTCTACCAACAGTAAAAGATACGGATAACGGAGGGTTGTTTATGGCCCATGTTCAAGTCAGAAACTGTTTTCAAGTACACCCCGGCCTTCATCCAGTCATCCAGTGCTGGCAAGCTCACTCAGAGTTCTCCTCCAACATGTCCTGGAGCCCATAGCTCCTTGCCGGGGCCTTGCGACTCTACAAGCGATTTCACAAGTCAGGTCTGCTCACTTGGGGGGATCCATTGTTACGCAGGTCCTAGCATCTTTTGCTCCAAGTCACGACCACAGAATATCCGGGAAAGGGGCTGCAGCTACCAGAAGTATTTGTTGCCGCTTGGGTCGTTCAGCGCGCGGGGCTCTTGTATGAGATTGCTGCTAGGCGGTCCGTTGGCAGTTAGAAGTGGGGTTAGAAATAGTACAACAATGGTTTTGACCATGTGTGGAGCATTTGCAAGCCCTACGCAAAAATACCCCTGGACCTCCAAGTAGCTCGCAAAGGCTTCCAGCTTGGGCTTAGAGTCCAGCCAAGACAATGAGGGCTTGCCTTGCACCCCACACCAAAAGAGCTTTGAACCCTAGACCCTACACCCTATACCCTAAGCCACTGAACGAAGAACTGAAAAACGGTAGTGCAGCACTCCCCCAATTCTAGCAAGTAGGCCTGTCCATTTTCCCACTATAGTATTTTGGAGAGATATAGGGGTGGTGGCAAAGAGGCGGCACGGTTTTTTCCTCTGTCCAACTCAGTCGTCATCTTCGATCCAGTGGTAGCCTAGATAGCAAGCTGCCAGGAATATTGCGTTGCCAATACCATCGCCGGCAGCTCCAAGCCAGGTCAGCACCGGCAAAGGGCCCCAGGGGCAGGCGTACACATCAAATGCAACGAAGGGCAAAATGCCGAGGCCCCAGTACACCCACGTTTGCTTACAGAATCGGCATGAAAGCAGGAGGATGCCTTGTAGTGTGGCCTGAGCGCCAAAGCAACTGACCAGCACTCGTTCGCCAAGTGTGCCATTGAAGTAAGTGGGATTGAAGCACGTGTCCATGACGAGAGACGGCAGCAGCATGGTGCCCAGACCCATGCTTAAGAAGGTGCCGCCCGTCACCAGCTGCAGCTTTGGTGTGGGTTTGACAGGCTTTGAGGCGACGGGCGACATTTGGGATATTGGGATAGCTGGCTCAATCTCCAACTCCAAGTGAGCACGAAAGCGGGTGGAGCAGCTCTTCTGTGAGACTGGACGCCCCCGACTCGAGCCGTCTGCATCAGGATCCAGGATGCTACACAGCAAAAGTGGATCCAAGCAAGGCTCACCCAAATGCTGTACCTCTTTGCAAACTACTCCCTGAGGGTCCAAGGCCCCAAATAGTAGGGGTTAAGGTCCCAGATACCAATAATATTATAGTATTTGGGCCCTGAATCCCGATTATTTGGGTCCTTGGACCCTTAGGGACTGGTTTATTTTAGCTGAGTACATCAGCTCCGCCATGTTGAACCTTGATATGCTTGGAGCAACTGGGAATTTCCCAAAATTAGGTGTACCTTCTTGGGGGTCCTATATTAAGGATTACAGTATTTGGGGGTCTATGTTGGAGCCCCCCCTAATTTGGGAAACTACCAATTATCATAAGGCCTAGGCATACCTGAACTTGGACTCCTCAGTTAATCACTCCACCCCTCCGCCTGTAGACTTGCTTTACCATCCTGTTGTCATCCCAATTCGCTCCGCCTCTCAAAATACCCCCAAAGCAGCCTTAGCCGTTCAGGTCAAGGAGTTGACCTCGTCGCTGAGAGCCTTGTGGGATTTAGGGTGTAGGTTCTAGGGTTTCTAGGCTTTATATAAGCGTGTCTGTTATTTATGGGGGGAAGAGACTCTTCATCCCTCCCCTTGGACTTAAAACCCACGGCCCATCCCTAGAACTTACAACAGACTTGGCAAGTCTCCCATACTGGCCCTACGAGCCGTGTCAGTGACACCCATCAAGGATTGTAGCTAATACTGCAGGGTCTCAGGCCCTTCCCAAGTGTGTGCTAAAGATCGAGTCTTGGAACCTCGTCACTACACTCTGAGAATCTGTAGACCCCAAGTAGCAAATTTGCGTAAGTTGTGGTGATGGCCGGTGGAGGGTCGTGGCGGCGGTCGCGGAAAACCAGGCGAAGTGTATGGGGAAGATTTGACAGTACATGCAGTGCAAGATGTGTATAGCAGCTGCACCCCAAGCAGTCTCTCGGTTGCTTTGCTTCTTGTAGCCATGCAGGGCTTCAATGCAAGCATGTTGATGCATGCTGAGACTGCTGCTGACATCCGGTGAACAAGACAGGCACTGGAATTCTCAACGCTAGAGGAGACATCTGCATACTAGGTCAATACCCTGAACCCTAAAATCTCTCAACCCCTAAGCCGCAAACTTTCCTGGGGCTCCCTGCCAACGCATAGGCTCCGGTGCCATGCTGGCACCTAAGAGACTTCGGCTTGGCCTAGATTCCTAGCTTACCTTTAGTTAGCTGGCAATGAAGGAATGGAAAAGAAAATGGAAGCTACTATAAGGGGTTGCATAGATTTTGGGTGTAGGGTTTAGAAGGAATGGAGAAGAAAATGGAAACTACTATAATGGGTTATGTAGGGACTACTATAAGGTTCCATTCCTTTATTCCTAGCTAACCAAAGGTGAGCTAGATGGAGCTCGATGAGTCTAGGGTACCCGTGTTGGGGGCATCCGCAAGACCTGTTCAGGGCCTTAGTCAGGAAGGGCCCTTCCCTGGAAAATTAAGCCAAGTTACTGTTACAGTTGTGTGTCTACATGATTCTTATGATGTCTCTTCTGTTCCTTCTTAATTTTCGAATCGAGGACCCCCTACTCATGACGCCGTGAGGACTTTTCGTCGTTCAGTTCAAAACGGACACCTCCCCCTATGACAGGACGAATTGTCTGGGCATGTCATCATAGCAGCTACCGGCGTCAGAGTGAGGGGTCTCAAGGAATTCCGACACGTCCCATGACTTCTGCGCAGCCAAACCCTTCGCCTGGTATGATTCGGGGGGAATATTCCTAACCCACAACCTTGGGGAAATTCCCTAAAGCAAGCAGTGCAAGCAGAAGCAGGCCTCGTGAGGCCAGGGCGCGTTTTGCTGCGCGTGCAGAGCATCGATGCTGCGGAGAAACACCATGTCCTGACAACGGCAATGTGGGCGCTTTACAGACGTCACATCCCAAAAAAGGAGTGTTCGCCCACATTGCTCCTCAGTCTGTACTTTCGACGTTCTCTTTGCGCTTTGCGCAAACTTGACCTTCGCTCCTCTTCCACTTGATCTTCAAGTGTTTGGACAACGTTTAAGCATCCCTTCTCTCTCAGCTTCTGAAACAACTCATCGAACATGTCCTTTGTCAAGACATCGGCGTATTGGCGCCAAGTCGGCACCCAATGCAAGCTCAGAAGATCTTCTTGCACGAGTTGGCGAACTGCCAGGATATCCAATGAAGTCTGTCTTTCCGTCGCCAGGAGGCTGGATCCATGAACATGATCGAACAAGCTTTTGGCATCTGTCACAAGATGCCCCCGGGTCACCAGCTCGCTGCGCCAGTTCGCCGTCACCTCGACCTTGCCGTAGGCCAGGGCGTCCAAGAGCTTCAGGTTGTACACCAGGCGGTCGGAAGCTGAAGCCATAGAACAACTCTCCGCGGCCATGGAACTTCTCACCACTCTAGACACCCTGTTCGAGTGAAACTCGAGGATGCTAGCTCTTCCCGACCCAGACAGTACGGCGGGGTCTGCCACGAAGTGGACTTCACCTCGTTGAGCTGCTGTTTCATTCGTCTTGCCCAAGGAAGCGTCGAAGTAGCTGACCAATACTGGTCTCTCCGTCGTGGCCTGCAACTTCACCACAGTCCGTCCAGCTCGAGCAGCTGTCTGGAGGTCCTTCAAGAGAGTGTTCGCCGCCCCCAGGTCACTCACCTTCGCTTGAGCCACTCGTTGAGCAAGGGCACTCACACGAAAGAGCAGCTCCGGAGACACCAAGTGAATCGGCCAACGAAGCTGAGCTATCAGGCGCCTGAACTCCTTAAGACCACCAGCGTCCAGAGGAGCGTCACCGTCCTTGCCAGGGAGGGAGGCTTCCTTGAGGGCCAAGACATATTCAGTCATGTCGTTGAAGAAACAGCCGTTCCTCTTGTAGATCTGCATTCCCAGATATCCAACAGGTGTGTCCTTCACCTCTATCCATTCCTTGATGGAGAAAAGCTTGTTGATCATCTCCCGAGTCTCCTTCACTTCCGGTCCGGGCTCCGCCGTCAAGAAGCCGTCGTCGACGTGAAGGCAAAGAATAGCCACAACCACAAGAATCCCTCGCCTCTTCTTCAGCTTGACAAAAGTAGCCGGCGCAAAGTCAAGCTCCGTGAAGCCACACGTCTTCAGGTCCTCCTTGGCCTTCTGGTACCAAAGCCTCGGAGCTTCCGAAAGACCATATGCTGACTTCAGGATTTTCCAGAGTTCTCCTGCGCTGACCCCCTTTAGGTCCCGAGGAGGTCTGACGTAGAGGTCTCGAGAGACGTTCTTGCCGGAAAGGAAGGCCGTGCTCACGTCGAAGAGCCAGCATTCCCAAGTCCTTGACAGACTTAGGATCATGGCAAGCCTGACGGATGTCAACTGTGTAGTTGGGGCATCCGTCCTCACAGAACCCAAATCTGGGTCCAAGTGTCCAGGCAAGACAATGCGACTCTTAGCCTTCAACCCCTTTTTTCCGGCCATCATCTTGTTCACCCTCACAATACGAGCGGGCACTCGGAAGATTCGATCTCGAGGGACCTTTTTTGCTTCTTCCGAAGACAAGCGAGACACCACCTTGTTATGAACCCAGGCTTGCCACTCCTTCTCGTCCGACTCTTCGAAGGCTTGGGCTTCGTCCTTTGAGAAGAACTGGGGGTCCAACTCCTTGCCGTTGGCTTTCATCTTCAGCAGGAAGGCCTCCTTTGTCAAAGAGTCCTCCGAAAGGTCGTGAAAGGCCGCCTGGATGTAGGTGACATCCGCCTTGACTTCATAGATGCCATCCTCCTTTGCCACATAGACGCAGTCGGGGTTGTATCGTCTCGGCCTGAGCGGCGCGCTTGCAGAAGTCTTCTTGCCTTTCTTGAGGAACAGAGTCATACCCCTCCACAAGTGGGGGCACTTTCTTCGTGGCCTTTGGCTGACCTCTTCCGCAGACTCCCTTGCCACCATTGCATGGCCATGCTCCTTGCCCAACATCAAAGTGATCCTCGGCTTGCGGTTTCGAGGTCCAGGATTTTGAAGGCGCTTGCGGGGAGCTCGATGAAGTCTAGCTGAAGTCAAAGGAAGGTCCAGAAGTCCTGCCAATTCCCGAACTTCATCTCGAGGGAGCCACTCGTTCCCCTTCTCCTCCGTCTTGAAGAGGTCGGCATCTGAGACGGCTGTGAAGACGTAGTTCGCGAACTCCGTGGTCTTGACTTTCTTGAGAGCCACGTCGTCCAAGTCATCCAGATGCTCCGGTCCCCTCTTCCGAAACTGCAAAGGAAGGTCGTCCAGAAGGCGTTCACGTCGAGGTCGTGGATCATGAGGCAAGGGAAAGGCAGCATCCGGCACAAGGTCTTCCGGAGAAACCAGCACAGCAGGAGGTGCATCTTCCCACACTTGGTCAGGAGGATAGTCAGGCGAGTAATCCTTGACATCCTCTGGAAGCTCTTCTTCAGCACCCTCCCCGGGCAGTTGGGCTTCACCTTCAGGCACAGGTAGTCCAGGAAGAGGAGCTGGTTCCACACGAGGTTTCCGGCTTCGCTGACCAGGGAGTCGTCGTCGCACCTTCTTGTCCAAGGGACCCTGCAAGACCCGCTTGACAGATTTAAGGCCCTGCATCATCTTTCTTGCTTCGGACATTCTTCTGCCAAAGCCAGTGCAACGCCTCCTTACAACAAGGCCGGGCGCCACAGGTTCAAGAGAAGCTTCTGGTTCACCAGGAGGGGGGGGATCCTGCGAGAGGTCAACATAGCCCTTCGCAAGGTCTGTCTCAGCTTCTCGAAGTCGCAAGTCATGATCCTGGGATTCTTCCAGCGATGCTCCTTTGAGGTTGGCCGCAGCAACCAAGAGACATCTTCCTCTCCATGACACAAAGTATCGACTTGCGCCATCAGGAACCAAGACGACAGCTGGTCCCCTCCAAGCTCCAGCATCTCGACGATATCTCACCCCAGGCTTTGACCCCGTTGGCGACCAAAAGTACACAAGTTCCCCAGGTTCATAGGCACGGGCCTGGCCACCAGGAGCTCGGCGGAGGGCCTTACGAAGTTTTTCTTGCACATCTCCACGAAGTAGCGCTACCTTGGCAGCCGCCCTCTGTTCTGAAAGTCGCGCGACTTCACCTTCCACACTCAGAGCATGGCCTAGAGATGCAGAACCCCATATTTCTTCGTCGAGAAGCTCCGGAAAGAAAGCTTGGCGCCCAAACACAAGAAAGTGTGCAGAATGTCCCTGGCGGCTAATCGTAGCGTTCTTGGCTTGTATGGCGCAGGAGAGGGCGGATTTCATAGCCTGTCTGCCAACAACTTGCATTTCCTCTATCACCGCTGTCCAAGCCGTGCCAAGAAGAGCTCCATGCCTCTCCGCCAGTCCGTTTTGCCAGGCTGCATAAGAGCCTGTCACTCTCGAAGCAATGGAGTGCGACTCCAGGACCGCAATGAACTCAGTCTCAAACTCTCCTCCTTGGTCCAAAAGAACCGTTGTAGGAATGCCAAACACTGCTATCCATGCGTTGAGGAACTTCTTGGCAACGTGAGCTGGGTCTCGAGTCCTGAGCAGCTTTGCACAGTGAAAGGAGGTCGCGCCGTCAACTATCGAAAGTGCCACGTAGATCTCCTTCTTAAAGTCATGCTGGTACTTCAGGTCCACGTGGATGACGGAGTTAAAGCAGATGGGCCGAGCTTCCGGTCGAGCAGGTAGAGGCTTCTTAGGAGGTGCTGAAAGCTCACACGTAGGACATTTCAGAGTCGAGGCCAGCTTCAGCAAATCCTGGTTTGCTCCACCGACCTCCAACATGCGGACCAAGGCCTCGTTGGTGGGGTGCCCAAGTCTCCGATGGATCAGGTGCAATCGAGCCATCTTGCCCCTCCCGTCCAACTTGCGCATCTCCACAATGCCACGCGCTGCATCCTCCGCCTGAATGTCCATGTGTGGGAGGTCCAAGTCCTCGACGGCCTCCGCAACGTCCGGAAACTCAAGCATCTCCCTCTCGCCGTCTGCCACAGCTGCGTGCTCGGCATCCTGGTTGGCCTCGTCCTCCTGCAAGACCATGTCATAGACGTCCACGTCAGTATTCATGAACGCTTCCTCCGGCACCATGGGGGAGACATAGAAGCTGCCTATGCGAGGTTTGCCGGCCAGGTAGTTTTCCGCACCTCGAACGACCGCCTCAGCAAACTTGCGAGTGTAGCCTCCCGCAAACTCCGCCACGGAACACCATCGACCTTTGACTTTGACCCCCCCCCAGGAAGGAGCGTGTTGGTGGTTGCCTGGGCAAAGTCGACAGGCCGCAGTCAGAATTTCTTGCTGAGCACGCAGTCTTGTGGGCTTGCGAAGGTAAAGGCCAGGGCCGGGACGGAATTCGTCGTCAGGTCGGCGAAGGCCAAACGCACACATCTCAGTTTTGCCTTCCGGCAAGCCCTCGTAAGTGTCGATGACGAGCGGTTCGCGCCATGCAGCACTGTTCCAGGGGTTCTCGCCCAAGATGGCGCCGCCACGTGCACGGTGTCGCAGGATCACCTTTTGAACCCAGGCCAGAAGTTGTCGTTGCTCCTGTCGTTGGGCAGCAAGACGCCGAAGGTACTCCGGGGTCCGTCGTCCGAAGGTTTGTAGTACGCTCCACTTTGTGCATGGCCACGCGATGGCCAAGAAGTCGGGCTGAAACTCCTCCAAGTAAGCTTCCGCCTGAGCTTGGTGAACAGGGTCGAGGAGGTCCCATTGCGGCAAAGACAATGGTTCACCCACTTCCCAGCCACGGCGGGAAGCTGCAAAGGAGAGGGCCATTGACCATGTAAAAATCTCCACGATCCGCCACGGACCAGGTCGTCTCTTAAGCTTGGTAGCCGAAAACGCCATCGACGAAGTCGAGGATAGCATTGGCGTACAAGAAGGCGTGGTCGTAGAAGTCGTGGTGGTTCTGGGCAAAGCCGTCGTCAACGAGGTCTCTGTAAGCATGGCCTTGGCAAACATGGAAAGCGAATGGCACGCGTGTCCAACCCTCCGACGGAGGGACTTGTGGAACGAACATGGCCTTCCTTCCACATCTGGCTCAGCAGTGTCCAGGTCATAGCCTGGGTTCTCGGCTTCATTCCCGTCGTCGTCAGACTCATCGAGGAACTCTACTCCGAACTCGTGGCTCGTGATGGAGACGTTGTCGTTATCCTCACGAAGCTCCGTGTCGGAGGAGGCACAGGACTCATTCTCGGAGGCGGTGTGCTCGGCATCCGGCAATTCCGATATCACCTGGACTCCAAGGTCAGACTGGAGCAAACCCATCCATTCTTGACTCTTCTTCCTTCGCAGCTCGGTGCCGAAGTCGCCGAAGAAATCCACATTGCCCTCGTCGTCGCCAGCGTCCTCAGAAGTGTCGCCATCATAGGCCTCATCCTCGAGTTCGGGCACAGAAGACTCACTGACAAAGGCCAAAGACTGAGGGCTATCCCGGAGCAACCTGATTTTCTCCCCAAGCTTTTCCTCCAGGCAAGGCTTGCTCGGGGGAAATCCAGGAGGGTAGTCGGTCAGCAACAAAGCCGGGTGCCGTGTTGAAGTCAAGCACATGACCGTCCTTTTGCCAAGGATCTGCACCGTCTTGTCCGCAAAGTTGAAGACCACCTGCCAGCGAGCCAACTCCGAGGGTCCGACCAATCCAGGGCACGCCTTCGCATCTCCCTTGACTTGACTGATCCGAACCACGTCCACAGTCTCCCCACCAAGACCGGCAGGGTACAGGAAGGCCACGCGACTCACCTCCGGAACGCCACTTCCAAACTGGAAAGTCTCGTTTTCCTCCACCTGCCACCACGGGACACCCATCTGCTCGAGCTTGGCCTGAAAGGCTTCATGCCAAAACTGTCCAGCCACCGCCGTTCTGCAACCAGAGTCCAGAATTACTTGCCCGGGGGGTACATGAGGAGCAGCTACAAAGGCCTCCGAACTCGCCGTTGCACAGGTCGAGGGTGTCGTTGAGGAATGCGACGTCACCAGGATGCCGTGGCGCTCGGAGTGGTAGAGGATATGCTTAAGGTCGCACCTTTTGCACCGTGCCCAATGTCCATGCTGGTTGCTAGACCAAAGGAGATCCTCAAAGCGATGGGGACATCGGGCTTGGAACTCATTTGGGACAGGTGCTGCCGAAGAGGGAATAGTTCGGGATCCATTCCACGACTGGCGCCAAAGTTCAAGCTTGAACTCCTCCAACTCCCGTTTTTTTACCGCCGTGGCTTTATCCCTTCCCTTGGCGTCCTTCTTGGTGGGTGCTTCCAAGGAAGGCTGAGGCACAACACCCGCCACTGGCGTCGTAGAGGAAGGCCATGGCGTCGTTGAAGGAGGTGGCATCGTCATTGGAGGGTCTGGCCTTGGCCATGGCGCCGTCGAGGATGGCATCGGTGCCGTCGAGGAGGTTGCTGCATTGCTTGCTGGACGCGGATACCCTGAAGGAGGAACAGGAAGTTGAGCACGTTGAAAGTCATCCTCCTCTTCTTCTGCTTGCAGAAGATAACGAAGACTCTTCTTCTCCGTCTTTGACATACCCCCCAAAGCCGCCATGGCCTCCATTGGCTTGAGCTTCACCTTGTGGTCCGGCTTGGATGTCCTTCCAAGGTCAGCCTTTGGCACACGAACGTCACGCATGGGCCGGGTCCTTGGCTCCTCATCTGTGGATGACACGGCCTCTGCGCCCTTCTTGCCCGAAGAGTCCACCACCAGCCAACCCCGCTTTGTCTGCAGCTTTGTCCCGCATTCAGGGCAGAACTTGTGATCCACCGTCACAGAGACCCCACAGCTTGGGCACGAAGGTGGCGGTACGCCGGCGCTTCCCACCATAAAAGTGTAGTTGACCACATGGACCTCGTTCGTCTTGGAGTGAGGCTTGTCCTTGCCATTCTGGACATTGATACACTCAGCATCGCCCTTCCAATGACCCCGAAGCCCACAAGAGGAACATGTACTCACCTTCTTCTTGTCTGCCAGGCTCCGCACCGTCGAGGTGGAAGACCGGGTCACACTGGATGACGTAGACGAGGTTGTCTTCCAGCCACGTGCTTTTCGTCCGCCAGCTGTCCTTGCCTTCGCCTTCCAGCCGGCTGCGAAAGCCTCCATAACATCAGCCTCCTCATCCTCCGTGCCATGGCCACCGTCTTCGTCCACCATCTCCTCGTCGCCAGACTCGTGGCCACCGACGTCGCCCGTCACGTCTTCACCCTCCTGCTCGTCAAAGCACTCCTGCTCCAAGTCTTCCTCGTCCTCCTCCATGGGAACGTCGTTGGCAAGGTGGACGGCGTTCTTCTTGCCCATGGCGGTCCTTGGCTTGAAGTGGCCCTTGGCAGACCGAGGTCGGAAAGTTGAACTGGAAGCTGCGGAGGACGAAGTCGAAGTAGGTGTCGGCAACCTTCTCTCGTCCAAATGCACCTCACTGCATCTATGCCGGAGCGCTGCTTCGATGGCCTTCGAAGAGTAAACACCTCCGGCGCTGTAGAAGACGTCCAGCCTCTCTCTCTTGGCCAGAGAGGCACGGTTGAGCAGTCTCTGGCCCCATGCACGGTCAGAAAGGATTGTATCCGGATCCACCCGGATATATTGCGCACGCAATCGCTTCATGGATGCCAGGTAAACCGCGATCGATTGGCCAGGTAGTCGCCTGAAAGAATTGAGTTCCCGCTCTGCTCTTTCAAACATTTCTGCCGTGGTCTCGCCGAAGCTCTCGTCCAACAAGTTCCACAAGACAGTGAGTCCACCTTCACACGTGCGACACGGTGGAGAGATAGATCAGCATTGCCAGCTCTCCGTCGTCCAGTCGGTACAAGCGCTGCTGCGCCTGCACAGCCTTCTTCCATTTAAGGTAGCGCTTTCTGTCACCCGCAAAGGACTCAATGCGAACACTCCCTATGCTACTCTTCGGCCTCTCTTGCTCACGAGCTCTGCGCCTAAGAAGGGAACGAATCTCAGACGTACCTGCCGAAGAAGACGTTGTAGAACTTGTCCCCGACTCTCGTTCACGGCCCGAACCACCACTACGAGGAAGATCACCTGAGCCATTTCCACCAGTGGAGTTGCCCTGCTGGCCATTGCCTCCGGGAAAGTTGCCTGAGCCATTGCCTTCGGAGGCTCCATGTCTCGGAACCTGAGGCTCTGAAGCTTGCTGAGGTACTTCTCCTGGAGCCCCTCCTCCCAACGAGGACGGAGGAGAAGAATGAAGAGAAGAACTCGACGAAGACGTTGGCGGTGAAGTCGGTTGCGCTGGTCGAGCTGTCGCCATTGGCCTAGGGCATGCCTGTCCATGAGGTATCTGAGCTCCTACCGCCATCTGCACCATGTTCGGAGGAAACATAGAAGGAAAACATCCACCGGTACCATGCATGAAGGCAGGAGGCCAGCCCCAGGGAACTGGTAACCCTTGATTGGGAGAAACATGTCCTGCAGGTACACTAAGTTGAGGAACACCTCCGGCTGGCCACCCAGGGGGAACGCCAGGAGCTGCACTAAGTCCAGCACCTTGCCCTTGTGCAGGCAGCGCCGCCGAAGATGGAGCCACAGCAGCCGAAGTACTCGCCGAAGTCGTCGGGTCCATCCACAAGCCAGGCGCCATGCCCGAAGCTCCTTGGGGGCCATAACTCACAGGAAGGCCAGCCGGCATAGTCCACAATCCAAAACTGTTCGGCCCCCCTTCGCCCACAAGACTCCAGGCCGACGAGGTTGGCAGCCCGGGCGCCGAAGTAGGCGGAGAGGACGTCGTCAAAATCTCCCCCCCTGCTCCGGGGACATTCTCAGCTGCACGTTCACTACTCCAGGGATCCTGCTCATCCCAAGGGTCGCTGGTGTCAGCTGGCACCGGCACATCGGCCGCATGCTCAAAAGGCGCCGCGAGCGCCGCCATGAAAGCAGAAGCAAGCACCTAAGGCCCTAAACCCTAGCTATCCGCTCCGCTACCAATATGATTCGGGGGGAATATTCCTAACCCACAACCTTGGGGAAATTCCCTAAAGCAAGCAGTGCAAGCAGAAGCAGGCCTCGTGAGGCCAGGGCGCGTTTTGCTGCGCGTGCAGAGCATCGATGCTGCGGAGAAACACCATGTCCTGACAACGGCAATGTGGGCGCTTTACAGACGTCACACCTGGTACTTCTAAGGTCTAGGCTCCGAGGTCAGAAACCTTCAACATACCTCAGGTGCGTGAAGGCAGGTTTATCTTAACCCCAAGCTCTCTTAAGCCCCAACCCCCCATCCTAAACCCTACAATCCTTAATCCTAAGCCTTTACCCCAACACCCCAAATCCGACAAATTCGAGCCACTGGACCGAGACAGGAAGCCCTGCAATCTTGGAGTGTATCAGGCTTACGGTGCTCCTCATGTTAATAGAACGACACAAAACTTGGGACGAGTCCACCACATCCAGTCTATCTTCCGCTATGAATGAAGGAGATCTTGCACCACCCTATGAAGCCCCGATCATGAAAATTACAATACTTTCGGGCATACTAAGAGCTGCAAGATTTCCTCCATCCGCCTAATCCCTAAAAGCCACAATCCCTTCATACCATTTCATCTGCCTGTACATCCCCATGTAGGTAGGTATACCTTCGATGCTACACTTACTATGCGGAAACTAGAGGATACTCCGGAACCAATATTCCCAAGGTACAAGGTACATAAGGTCGTGCAGGATCTTTACTACCCATCGTATCCCTAGGGTCCATGATACAATACGTAATCATATACTTTGGGCTTCTGATACCATGCGTCGTCATCGAGGCCTTGGAGACTATATAACAACTACGTACACTCTGACCCTCAGGGTAACCCTAATCCTTTAACCTTAAACCCCAAATCTAGAAACCTGAGCCCCAAACCCATCAGGTCGCAGAAAATGCTGGAATCCACGGCTGAGGCGCTGCAGCAACTGGTCGCATGGTTCTCCAGGAACGGGCGCGCGTAAAACTTCCAACAGATCAGAAATGCTGCTGGCAGAAGAGGGATGTGGGGGCTTGGAGGGGAAGGCTAGGGCGTCTTTGTGTGACAGGCATAGCATCTTCACAACATTGGCGGGAAAGAGATCAAACAAGGCATTTGGCGCTGGTCAACGCCCATTCATGAGCTGGAACACAGCTGTCAAAGCACCTGAACCCTGAACTCTAAACCTGAAAAGTGGCAAGAATGCACCTAACTCCTAGGAAATTAGGTATCCAACCTACATGGTGCAAGACTCTCCGCATCCGCAAAGGATTAGTGTCTTGAAGTTGTTGGCTTCGAGTGATCTGTGCTTACGTCTGAGGATCTTACTTTGGCATCCTCCTTTTTTGAGAAAGTCACTTTAGGACTTATGTAATTACAAGTCACAAATGGCAGTTGCCGGAAATTGGGGTGCCTGTAGACAGCGCTTAAAAGACTGTTATCCTTAGAATTGTAGGTCCTTCCCTATTTTTAAGGACAGCCACCCTTCTTGACAGTACTGGGCGGGCTTGTATGAAATCAAGGCAGCAGTGGTACCAGTAGCTGCAGTGGTTGTAGTTGTCGTAGTGGTCGCAGCAGGAGGATGAAGAACGAGAGTGGCAGCGGGAGTACTGGTGATGCTAAAAATCCTGCATGACCCTACTAGACAACAATCATAGTACCGCCAAGGCATAAGGTACTCGGTCATGCAGGATTTTTAGTATCCACCGTAATGGCGGGAGGAGAATGACAATGAGAGGTAACGACATTGGTGCACATCTTGATGATTCCTACTGTTTGCTTCTGCTGCCGCTTCACTGCCACTGTGATTCGTCCTTCTACTGCCACCAGTCGGCGCTGACCAGTAGCAGGCAGAAACTTGGCGCCGTATAGGAAGGCTTAGCCAGCATTGCAAAATTCTAACCTAGAAGCCTAAAGGCAAAAATCTTGACCCTGAGGCTTAAGAGGAAAAGGGTCCAAATCAGACACATAAATCCAGACCTGAAAAAGACAGATGATGAAGCCCTGAGCGGCTAAACTTTACATGGCCCATCCCAAAGCCGAAACTCTGAAGCGTACAGCCCCAAACCTTAAGATCCTAAGCACCAAACTACCAAACCCCTAAATCCCCAAAACCCCAAGCCCGCAAAAGCCCTAAACCCTCAACCCCTATCTAGACCCTAAAACCTTGAAAAACCCTACACCCTGAAGCCTAGCTTGAAGGCAGCATTTTCATCATGTTGCGAGGTCCGGCCAGTTTTGCCGGAAGCCATCAGCAGAGCCTTGATTTGCGTTTTGGGTTTAGGGTTTTGGTGGGTTTACGGTTCAGGGTTTAAGGTTTAGGGCTTCAGGGATGTTCGGAGTTCAGGGTTTAGGTTTGTTTTGCTTAGGCTGCAGTCGTTTTGTGAGGCTTGAGGGCTTATACTAAATCGGTTCTTTTACGAGCCATGTGGCGGTTTTCATAATGTAGGGCTCCCCTTGGGGGTCCCAATAATCAGGAATATATGGGGTCGGTTCGGGTTTCCAGAATTCGGGTTTACAAGGTCAGGAGTTCAGGCTTTAGGGTTTGGGCTTCTTGTTTTGGGGTCGTGGGCCAAGTCTGAAAAACGAGACCTCAACGTCTCCAGTAAGGTGCGGAGCTATAATTTCTTCTCACCCAAAGGATCCTAAGTACCTCTATTGTACAAAGCATGGTTTCTATACTAGGAATTTGCGATCCCGCATGCAGGTGCTTAGGATCCTTTGGGTTTAGGGTCTCAGCTTTTCGGCCATTGCTGCAGCTGGTTCCCCCACCATGCAATTTGACAACCCTCTGATGCCAGTCACTTGGTGCCCTAAACCGTTAAACTCTCCACCCGAAACCCGACATGCTGATCTATCAACTCTAAACCTAAAAACCTTCCCCTATGCCGCTATTCCCAAGCTTCAAACTGCAAACTCACAACACCGTATACACTACACCCAAAGACTCTAAACTCTAAACCCCAAACCCTAGGCCTAATATACCCTATATACCTGAAACCCTGAAGCTCGTACCCTATATAGCCCCATATACCCTGAACCCCCCAACCCTATACCGCATATGAGCTAGAGTCTAAACTCGTAGCATCACCCTTAATAAGCCCCATGGTAATCCCCTACATCACAGCGTTTCAGAAATTTAGGCTATAGCTCATAGATCCTAAACCCACCTTGAACAGCCCCTGCATGCACAAACGCGGCGCTGCCTCGCACTCCGCGCTGCGACCCAACGCCGAGCTCGGCTTGACGCAGAAGCCGCTCGTCGCGCCTCTCGGATGCCGCTTTAGGGTTCAGGGGTTTAGGGTTTGAGGTTTAGGGTTTGGGGGTTAAGGGTTTAGGGTTTGGGATTTAAGGTTCAGGTTGGGGGCTTAGAATTTAGGGCATCCTGCTGCGTGATGGCTGGAGGTGACATGTGGAAATGGACGGTGCAAGGGGTTTCGGAGGTTTCCTAAGCGACGGCACATCGCCGATCAGAACCCAACAACCAACATGAGTGTTTTGTTTTCACCTCCCACCTTGCTGCTTGCGAAGGCGCTCGCCCAACTTTTCCTACTGGTGGTTGATAGGGAATAAGGGAATGTAATCCCGACATAAACCCTGTATAGTCTTGTCCTCTAGCCCCTACTAACCGCCAGTAAGTTATCTCCTTCT